GAAAGCCTAACACAGAGGGATAGGAAACCCTTTCTTACCAGATTCTAAAATATTTGGGTCAGACACTGGGATCTTGGTGAACTAATTAAAGATCTCAGAACAGTTTTCTGCATAAGCATTTGTAGAGTTTTTCAGTTGAAAAGAGTTGAGGTAACTTTAGAAACATTTTTTCCCTTCCCTTCCTCACTGGGATATAATCAAGTTTCTTCTCCTTGGGGACATTTTGGAGCTGTAGAAGTATTGTAAAAATGATTTTGAAAAACTATATCCCATAGTAATTTTAAGTTGACATTTTAAGATTTTTCATCTTAAGTCTGATAGTTCAAATGAATTTAGTATGTTAATAGCTACTGTTTTAAATACAATTATTAGGTGTTTTAAATGTAACTAAAAGAATCTAAATACCATAGTGATTTGATAAACATCATCATTCCACTTTTCCAAAGAGTTTTATCCTGTTTTCATCATTCATGAAAGTCATACATTAAAGATTGTCACACTTCTCTACATCTAAATTTGAAATTGTTTGCTGACCCCTTAAGATTCTAAGCATTAAAAAATCTCTAATTATAAATACATGGTAGACCAAAACATTATACTATGTATGGCATGTTCTCTCCATCATATCTGCATGGATTTTCTCCAGGACTCTTCCTCCCACATCCCAGAGTTGTGCATTTGAGGTGAATCACCATGTCTAAATTATCCCAGTAGAGGGAGTGAGGGTGAGTGTACCCTGCGATGGAAGGGTGTCCTGTCTAGGTTTGGTTCCCACTTTGCTCCCTGAGCTGCTGGGATCAGCTCTTGTTTTCATTCATCTTGCTTAAATTTATGTATAGAACATTTCAATGTATAATATTGGAAGTGTTTTGGGTCTTTATTTAGAAGTTTTGTGATAGAAATATGCTGGAGGAACTCAACTATTGTTTATTTAATTTACCCTATGGTCAAGCTGGTTTTGTTGTATGTCATTTTGCCTCAAGTCCGTTTCCAAGAACCTATGAGTGATGTTAAGTGAGGACTTAACTCTGTGTGTTTCATACAGATGATATATATACTCAGAAGTTTAGAAGCTGAAATAGGAGAAGAAAAGGTCTGCAGACTGGGAAAATGACCAAATGGCATGCATGATGTACATATATGTAGAATGCTGTTGAAGAATTAACACCTAGACCTTTGTTTCAAGCATACATGGGATATATATGTAGTTTTATAAGAATTTTTTTTTAAATTGATTTTAGAGAGAGAGGAAGGGGAAGAGAAACATCGATGAGAGAGAACATCTATTGGCCATCTCCTGCATGCCCCCAACTAGGGATTCAGCCCACAACCTGGGCATGAATTGAACCGGCAACCTCTTGGTGTATGGGTTGATTCTCAACCTCTGAGCCACACCGGCCAGGCCATACATGAAATATTTTTTGAGAACTGGTTGCATATTAGCCTATAAAGCAAATCTATATTATTTCAAGGAATTGGTTTCAGACTATAATACAAATAAGCTAGACCTTGCCAGTTTTGAGGAATATTGCCTGCTATTTTGTAGTGTTCCTCAAGTTGGCATTACCTAATGCTTCTTTCATTAGATTGGGGTTATATAGGTTTTGGGAAAGAACACAGAGGTGAAGTGCTGTTTTCAACATATGTCAAAGGGTACATGCTAGCTATCAACCTGACTTTTCATTGTTAACCTTGACTTAGAATGTCAAAGGGAACATTTCTATGAGCCCAGATGTTCTGATAACCTCCCATGCTGTCTAAAAACCACCCAAGTGGCCCATGGTGTCACTGCCTTACACACATCAATCTTTTTTGTTTTTGTCTGCCAGCTGCAGATTTTGGACTCGTCAGTCCTTTTATAATCAATTAGCCAGTTCTGTATATATCCTGTTGGTTCTAATACACTAACTAAAAAATGAACAGCTCTCTTTGTGCTATATATATATATATTTGAAAATCAAGGGCAAAGGAATGGAACTTTTGCCTAGTAAATGGGGATGCTTTCAGACATGTCACTAAAAGGTGTAACACTGGTCAAGTACTGACAAGTCAAACATAGACAGCATAACAGAGATAATTGAAACATGTAAGGTCTTTAAAAAATTGAATCTAATCAAAATTAAACACTTTTGCTCTGCAAAAGACCCTATTAAGAGGACGGAAAGACAAAGCTACAGACTGGGAGAAAATATTTACAAACTATATATCTGATAAAGAACAAGTGTCTAGAATATATAAAGAACTCTCAAAACTCAACAGAAATTTAAAAAATCCAATTATAAAAATGGCCAAAAGACATGAATAGACATTTCAATGAAAAGGACACATGGGTGGCAAATATGCACGTGAAAAGTTATTAGACATTAGCTATTTGGGAAGGGCAAATTAAAACCTCAATGACATATCACACTTCTATCAGGACCTGGAGTATTATGCTAAGCAAAATAATGCAGTCAGAGAAAGACAAGTATCACATGATCTCATTTTTATGTGGAATCTAATGAACAAAATAAACTGAAGAACAAAATAGAAACATGGAAGCAGGGAACAGACTAACAAACCTCAGGGGGGTAGGAAGAGAGAAACCAAAGAACTTATATTTTCATATATGCAGAACCAATGGACACAAACAATAGTGTGGGGAAAGGGACATCTGGAATACTTTCAGTAAATTTTTATGATGTCAAATGCTGGCAAAAATAGAAAGAAACTGAACTCACACATCGATGAAATGCTACTGTCACTCTTGTAAAACTAAACATTCAACCCATCGGACAAGGAGTCCTCTGTCCCTTCATCCCTGACTCTGGGAAACCACTAATCTGTTCTCCATTCCTATAATTTTATCATTACAAGGATGTTACCTTTTGAGATTAGCCTTTTTTAACCAAGCATACTGCCCTGGAGATCCATTCAAGTTGTACCAATAGTTCACACATTTATATAGTTGAGTAGTATTCCATGATATGGACATACCACTGTATGTAAACCTTCACCCGTTGAAGGACATCTGGGTTCTTTCAGTTTGGGCTATTGTTAACAAATAAAGCTGCTATGAATATTTATGTATTTTTTTTGTGTGTGTATACAATTAGATCTCTGGATAAATACCCAAGAGTTTTGTGGACAGTCTTGTGTATATTAGAGAAACTCAGATCATTTCAAAAGTTATTGAATAAAAGGTAATACAACTTCATTCAAATGGAACAGAACATTTTATTAAATTATCCCCCCCCCCCCTTTTATCCTCACCCAAGGACACTTTTGCATTTATCTTCAGGTAGAGCGGGAGGGAAAGAAACATCGATGTGAGACACGAGTGGTTGCCACCCAGACGACCCCAACCGGGGCTGGGGACAAACTGCAGCTGAGCTACGTGCCCTTAGCGGAAACCAAACCCAGGACTCTCTGGTCCGCGGGCCGACATTCTAACTGCTGCGCCAAACCGGCCAGGCCACCCCTCCCCCACCTTTTTAAGTAAGGGATTTAAAAAATAATATCCTAGGAGTTAGAGAAGGAAGCATCAAATGGCAACTTAGGAAAAAAATGCCTGGAGGACATAGCAAGTATAGACTTAACTATCAAGTGAATTAAAATTCCTCAAACTAAACTAGTGCACCTAAAGATTCTTTAGAACACCACTTAAATTACCTTTGAGATCCAACTTCAGGGGTTACCTTCAGAGGACAAAAAGGGTAAATATCACCTTTAAACAATTCAATATTTCAGGACAGAAAATGGTCAGTTAACCCTCTAGTGCCAGTTTTTTTGTTTTTTAATCCTCACCTGAGGACATTTTTGCATTCATCTTCAGAGCGGGAGGGAGAGCAAAAGAGAAACATCAATGTGAGAGAGACACACCGACTGGCCGCCACCCACACAACCCCAATTGGGCCAGGGACAAACTGCAACTGAGGTATGTGCCCCCAGCGGGAACCGAATCCGGGCCTCTGTGCTTCTCTGGTCTGCGGGCCAACGCTCTAACCGCTGAGCCAAACCAGCCAGGGCGCCAGGTTCTTTTATTAAACACAGGAGGAAAGTAGGTCTGAGTATTACAGCCACCTAAATTTGAGTTGATAAAGAATGAATCCACTGCACACTTTTACTGAATTCATTTATTTAGAGATAGAATACAGTCATTCAAATCATGGAACACAATATCAATACAGAATAAAGTGGAAGAATTAAGCTGAATTGTTACCTTTCATTTAAATTAATATATTAAAAGCAGCAAATGTAGACTTTTAAGATTAAAACACTAATGACACAACTAAGTTTCTAAGGTGTTATACTGCTTGATTTTTACGAGTACAATAACCTATATATATTAATTAGGTGGCAGCAGATACAAAAGCATTTAAATATCTTTTGAACTGTATAGTGTACTATAAGCAGTTTATTCTACAGCATTCCATCATTCTCATGACCTCCAGGTAGACGGCAAGCTGGACACCAGCAATCCACATCACATAAATTACCCACCACTACTCAAGTGTACAATCTATTATGCATATATTTTGAATAAAAATTAGTTTTGAATGCCAGAAAGAATGTCCGCTATTTGGGGCAGTCTTAGGACTTTAAAGATTTGACACTAATTAGCTACCTGAGTTGTTTAAGTCTGTGGTTCAGTTGCTTCATTTTTAAAATGGGAGGACTGGACTAGATTTCGTCTAAGTAGCTACTGAAGCCCAGTATATTGCAGTTTCTTGCTGACCTGTCAAAGTTTACCACCTTTGATTTTCAAAACAAATTTTCGAAGTGATTTTCAAGAACTTCCTTCTAATTCATGATTATCCTTTTCAAAACCTTTGTCTAAATCCTTCAGAGTTCCTAACATATCCATGGAACCCATACTTTTGCATATGTTTATAATGACCAAAACAAAGTTCACTATGTTAGTACTGAAGGCCATCCTTACTCAAGGAAGCATATAGCCTAATAGAATATTCAATGTAGCACCCAACACCAATCTGAGTTTCTTTAAGTCTCTCAATATACATCATAACCTATACTGTTGTCCACTGAACACTTCCTACCTGTGTAAGTTTCTTCCTATCCTTATATCAAGAGAAAAACCCGGAAAGACTTTTCAGACAATTGATATTTAAGTGACTTGTTTATATAACCTTAAATAGCTATATTCTTTGCAATCTCCCGTAGGGCAAGGCATCAAGTATTTCAAAAGGCAGCCATACACTTCCTTTTATACTTTCCAAGACAGCTTAAGTTCTAACACAATTTAAAAAGCAAATAGTCAAGTAGTTTTATTTTTACTATTATTTTCACAGGTACAGAACAGAGGATAAACCTAAAAATGTCCACATTTCCTAACTCACTGCCATACTCATAAAATGTTTGTGATTCATTCTAACACATCTATCAATGCGCTTGGCAAGAATATAATGAATAACATGGTAAGCAGTAAAATCTAATTCATGCCAAAACACTGGAGAAGTTTCATGGGAAGCACACACATACACAACTTTACAAAAGTTGGAAATACTGTCAATTTTAAATATGTAATGGTCAAATTTGGACTTTCATGCCAGAAGTCCTGTTCAGTCAAAATCACGATTTGTAAGAACAAGTGGCGCCACCAGTGTCCAAACATATAGCACGATGCCGATCCAACTGGAAGAGATTTTCACCCAGACAGCTGTCCACTGACTTTTCATCTCACGAGAAGGCTCATACCTGAAATTTGAAGAAAATAAAAAGCAGAGGTGTTGAATTATCAACTATCAAGCTACTTCATTTGCGGGGGGGGGGGGGGGGAGCCCCAACCCTGCAGCCCCATCTCAGATTTAAGACTGGGAAGGAAATATATCCCAAATGTAGCTGATTTTTGTGTTAATGAAACATAACAAATATATTTTTGATCTAATGTTTTAACATTTATTCTTATTACCTGAGAGCCAGAGCTGTGAATTATTGAAGACTATGTGGATTCTTACAGCTTACTATGTTTCAATGCAGGAATTTTACGAAGTGTTTCTTTTTCAGTAGTAAATGCCAATAAAGTCTCTTCTTAAAGAAATAAGGTAACTTTTTTTCTAAATCTTTTGCTGGTCTTATTACAAGTTAAAGGTACTGTGCCTTAAACATTATTAAAAACAGAACTGTCCAAAACATACAGTTCACCTTGAATCTCAAATCTTTCAGTAATCATTTAGATAAAATTAGAATTTTCAGTAACAAAACAATATAAATTGCTACCTTCCTCTTATCAGAAAAAGATTTATGGATTAGTTTTGAAGTAATAAATAGCGTAAATTATCTTTGAAGAGTTTAATGGACCCATCTACATTAATGTATTCACACTTCAATTTTAAAGTCTTAATGACAAGATTTGAACAAAACAGAAGACGTATCTTTTACTGTATTCTGTCAGGAATTAGTCACAGAATTAAAAAAATAAAAAATAAACTACTGGATCAACTATTAACATGTATTTCTGTACGAAATGTTAGTTTCATGAAAATTTCTATTTTAATCTCTATAAGATTTGGAAATATTTCAATGTTTGTTATCGCAAAAGCAAGGAAGTGAAGTCTACGATTCACACACTGATCTCAACATTCATTTAGCTTTACATTTTTAAATGTACTGAAGGATAAAAAGTACTTCACACAATATTCTTCAATGCAATTAAGAAAAAAATATCAGAATTTCCACATGCAAAGTTTTCATAAAATGTAAGTACCTGTACCAGTTGGTAAGGGTCATCATGATATAAAGGGAAGCCAGGAAAAGCATGAAGTGGAAGAAGGAGTAACTGTAAGTGACACCATCCCTTTCGTTATCTACAGCTCGGTGAACATCATCTCCATCCTCAAGTGATCCGTCACTTCTGGCTCCACCATCTTCTATCAATGTTGATTCATCACTTGTTAGAGTTAGTTTATTAACCTGACTATTGTTTGAAGTACGAATGCTGAATGCAAGACAGTTTAGGAAGAGAGAAGAAAAGGGGCATTAAGAAATTATTTATAAATAAGTATCTAGACTTTTTGTTTAAAAAAAATCTACAATTTTTCTTACCTTGAATAAAACACACACAATAAAAAGAGGATTAGTCCTATAATTCCTTGAGCATGCCACCACTGGACAGACTGCCCATCCTTTGGCAGAGTCCTTGTTGTATTGTATCCTATTATGCTTAGTAGACTTGGGTTGCAATTGGTTTCTGCAATGTTAATTAAGGTCAAATTTGAATGTTAGAATAGTAAAACAATGTATTTTTCAAGGTGTAACTGTAGTTCTTTTTAACTCTTTATACCCATACAAATTCAAAAAGTTTTTCTGGAAAAGGGCACAAATATAACAAAAAGCATTTTAAAACAACTTATATTTAAATTAAGTCTTTCAAGTTTTATACTGCTAATTTTAAAGAAGTGCTTGAAAAAGTTAATTTCATTTTCAACCTCATGCAGAGCCGAGAAATATTATTAAGCTCTCTAAAGTATAATAAATCTCTAGCCAACTTAGGAATAAAATGCAGGTGTTCTAAACCAAAATGCATTGGCTTTGTACTTTATATTGTGATATACCAATAGTGACTAGTGACTTTATGAAGTTTACCAACCTGTCAAAGTACACTGTTATAAAAGCAAGATAGCTTACACATAATAACAGTTATTAGAAGTCTAGCAAATGCTTCGTGGACATAACCATTATAAGCCATTATACTTTATGCTTATTCAGTTTTCAGTTTCTTAACTCTTCTAAGAAAGAAAGTAGGGTTGGTAAGGTATTCAGTCTAGTTTCCAAAATATATTGTTTTGTTTTGTTTTTCTCACAAAGCAGAATATGTCAATCACCATCTTATTAATGAAAATGATTCTTATCTTAAAGCCATTCAGATAAGGATAATCTCAAAATCAAATTACCTTTTTCTAACCACTTACCTAGACGAAAGTAGTAACAAATCTTTCTTTAATATACGAAAACAAACAAACAAAATACCTTTTCTCCATCTAGTGATAAAGCACCTACAGGGTTTTTAAACTCAATGAAAAGAGATTCAGATAACATATTTTATAATTATTTTAAAGGAAAAAAGACCATTTTCTTCCTTTTCCAAAAATAGTTCATTCCTCAATTTTTGTCACCTCTAATGACAAATACTAATACTGGCTTCTATTCCCATGAAAAGCAATGTAACTGATAAACAGATTCATTACAAAACCCAATTATATTCATTTGCAAGGTATTAACAGACTAAAGGAATAACTTCAGTGAAAAAAACTGTACTGTCTACAACTGAATCAATAAGCACTTGAACCACTTTTATTTCTTCCTATTTATCATATAACCTGTTCAAATTAGGTATATTTCTTATAATTTTCATATACTTTCTTACAATTTTATTAGTGAAGGAAACTAAAAAATAGCAATACATCAAACATGGAAATGGTATTATTTCCATATGCCTTATTCCTCTAGGAATACAACTGTCGTCTGTCACCATACAGTTGATCCCCTCTACACAATTAGTCCCGCCCTCTCTCTAGCACCCCTTGCCCTCTGGTAACCACCAATCTGTTGTCTATCTCTAAGAGTTTGTTCTTTTTTTGTTTTTATATTCCACGTGAAATAATGCATTTGTCTTTCTTAATTTTTAAATAGCTTAATTTCACAAAATGACCAGCTTTGAAAAAAGAAAAGTTGCAGGATTGATTAAAAAGAAATAAACCCAAGCAAAAACATACCTGGTTCATTGGTCATAGCAGACCACGTCAAATACATTGTGTAGACTGTAATTACTGAAGACTGTAACAAACCAGATCTCGGTTGTGATTCCTACAATAAATAAACAATGGAGATCAATGTTTTAACATCATTCAAGATTTAGGAAAACTCAGAAAAGTAGAAGCTTCATACAAACTAATGATATAAAGAGCATACTTGGATTTTTGGCAGTATAGACATTACAGAAGCACCAAGGCAGAGGAGCATGTTGACACTGATGAATGTTTTATTTTCTGAACAACTGGCTGGATGAGTATAGTAAACAAAGAACAGGACGATAGCAACTAAAGACAGCAGATAATTCAGAGCTGTAGCTGATAACAAAGCTGTGAAAGAAATATAAATGGACAATTAGATTTGATCACAAATATTAGAAATTAGGCATAGGTCTTAAAAATAATCTTGTTTTACTCAAAATATATTTAAGCAATTAATATTATCAGCATTATGCAGGCTATAAAAGGAGAAAAATATTAATTCTGAACTTTATTACAGAATAATTTTAGAGTCTTTTACACATAGCTCACTATTATTGTGTTTTCAAGTTAGTAACATACTAATATGATTGTTATTAATAGTAATAACTATATCACAGAGCTTATAAAACACATCCATATAGACTAAACATTATTTTCAAAGTACAGAAAAATAACTAGAATATTTCTTAAGGTTTTTTTTTTTAATCTTTACTTTTTTCTATCACTATTTATCTCCCCTATAGCCTCTTCCACCTCCACCCTCCCTCCCCTCCAGCAATCACCACACTGTTGACTGTGCCCATGAGTTCTTTTTGCTCAATCCCTCTCCCTGTCTAACATCCACACTCTCCTCCACCACCCCACCACCCCGAGCTTTCTATCTGTTAATCTGTCTCTATTTAGCTTGATAGTTCTGTTTGTTCATTAAATTCCACATATGAGTAAAACCATATGGTATCTGTCCTTCTCTGACTGGCTTATTTCAGGTAATATTCTCCAGGTCCATTCAAAGGGTAAAATTTTCTCCCTTTTTACAGCCAAGTAGTATTCCATTGTGTAACTGTACCATAGTTTTTTTATCTGTTCATCTACTGATGGACACTTGGGCTGCTTCCAAATCTTGGCTATTGTAAATAACACAGCAATGAACACAGAGGTGCATATATTCTTTCGAATTAGTGTTTCGGATTTCTTCAGATAATTGCTCAGAAGTGGAACTGCTGGGGCATTAGGCAGTTCTACTTTTAATTTTTTGAGGTAACTCCATACTGCTTTCCACAGTGGCTACACCAATATGCATTCCCTTTTCAACAGTGTATAAGGCTTCCCTTTTCTCCACATCTTCACCAACACCTGTTTGATGATTTATTGATGACAGCCACTCTGACAAATGTGGTGATAGTTCACTGTGGTTTTAATTTGTATTTCTGTGACGATTAGAGATGTTGAGCATCTTTTCATATGCCTATTGGCTATTTGTTATGTCCTCTTTGGAGGAGTGTCTATTCAGGTCCTTGGCCCATTTTTTAACTGGACTGTTTTATTTTTTATTTTTGAGTTTTGTAACTTCTTTATAAATTTTGGATATTAACCCCTTATCAGATGTATTGCCAAATATGTTCTCCAATTCAGTGGGTTATCTTTTCATTTTGCTCATGGTTTCCTTTTCTGTGCAAACGTATCATTTATTTTTTCTTTTGTTTCCATTGCCTGAGGCATTATATAAGAAAAAAAGACTACGAGAAACGTCCAAGACTTTACTGTCTATGTTTCCTTCTAGGATTTTTATGGTTTCGAGTCTAACATTTAGTCTTTAATCCATTTTGAGTTTATTTTTGTGTGCAATGTAAGAAGGTGGTCTATTTCATTTTTTGCACATATCTGTCCAATTTTCCCAACACCCTTTATTGAATAGGCTATCTTTTAGCCCACTGTATGTTTTTGCCTCCTTTGTCAAATATTAACCGACTATAAAGGTGTGGGTTTATTTCTGTTCTCTATTCTGTTCCACTGATCTATATATGTCTGATTTTATGCCAGTACTATGCTGTTTTAATTACTATGGACTTGTAAAATAGGTTGATATCAGATAGCATGAGTCCTCCCAATTTTGTTCTTTCTCAAGATCGCTATTGCTATTCGGGGTCTTTTGTGGTATTCCATATACATTTTTGGAATATTTGTTCTAGTTCTGTGAAATACACCATTGGTATCTTGATAGGAATTCTGTGGAATCTACAGATTGCTTTGGGTAGTATGGATACTTTAACGTCGTCAGTTCTTCCTATCATGGCTCAGTAGGGGGGCATGCAGAAGGCAGCCAATTGATGTTTCTCACATCGATGTTTCTATTTCTCACCCCCTTCCTCTCTCTCTCTAAAAAAGAAAAATCAATAAAAATATATTTAAAACAATAAATAAAAATGAAAAAAAAAGCATTAATTACAACAATATAAGAATTCTTCTAGTGTTACTGATATATATAAACACCTTCACAGAAAATTAACCTCATAAAAATCATGATTTCCGCCCTGGCTGGTTTGGCTCAACGGTTAGAGTGTCGGCCTGCGGTCCAGAGAGACCTGAGTTCAGTTTCCGCTAAAGGCATGTACCTTAGTTGCAGTTTGTCCCCGGCCCTGGTGGGGTCGTCCAGGTGACAACCACTCGATGTGTCCCTTTCACGTCGATGTTTCTCTCTCTTTCTCCCCCTCCAACTCTATGTCCCACTCTTTCTGAACAAAAAATGGAAAACTGTCCTCGGGTAACGATTAAAAAAAAAATATATATATATATATATATATCATGATTTCCCTAGTCTACATATCTGCTCCCATCTTCAAAACTCAACTATCTTAAAGATATTCTTTAAGATATCTTTAAGATATATGACAAAAACTTACCTGCATACCAACATCTTGAGTTTCCTTCTTCCATTTTTTCAACCCATGATTCATTCCACGAATGGGCAAAATCAATAAGTAAGACAAGTTGAATGAGGATGAAGCAGAAGGCACCTGCCATGCCTACATAAAACCACACTGGAAAATAAAGAACCAAATACAAATGAGTGGCTGGTTCAGTTTTCATTATTTCATTGTCAATAAAATTATTTCATTATTTCATTAATACACAAAAAGGAAAATAAAATGTCACATAAATGCTTTGATTTTGTCAACTGGAAGAAAATAAAGCAAAGAAATAAACAGTTACAGTCCCAGGCAATTGTTTCATTAAAAAATATAAACATCACACAATTAAGAAAAATCTATTTCTTACCAGTTGTAAAAGTTCCTTCTGGAATGAAGAAAGCCCCAATAATAATTGCTATTGCTACAGCAAATTTAAAGAACCAGAATCTAAAACAAGAAATATGATTTTTTATTAATAAACACTCATTCAATAAATAATTTCATATTAAAATCTTTTAAAAGCACCTTAATGAATAGCTACACTTCATATGACTATTGTATTTTTTTTCTGATGATATCCTGGAAATGAGAAGTGAAGACTGCCAGGTAAACTGTTTTAGAACAATTTTAAAGAAACAATTTTTGCCATTAATTCATTATAATAAAATGAGACTATCAGTTCCATTTCACAGGCTTATTTTATGTAATGAGTGCAATAATATGTGAAAATGTAAGTAAAGTACACTGTACAACTAAACAGGTTGTTTTTTGTTGCTGGTTTTTTAATAACAATTTTTCTTTATTGATTTGAGAGAGACAGGAAGAGGGATAAAGACAGAGACATCAATGACAGAGAACATCAACTGGCCGCCTCCTGCATACCCAGCACTGGGGATCAGGCCCACAACCTGGGCATGTGCTCTGACCGGAAATCAAACTGCTGACCTCTTGGTGCATGGGTTGGTGCTCAAACACTGAGCCACATCAGCCGAGCTGTTCTTGGTTTTTTTAATTGATTGATTTTTGACAGAGAGAGAGGAGGAGAGAGAGAGAAACACACACACAAATTTCTTGTTCCACTTATTTATGCATCCATTAGTTGCTTCTTGTATGTGCCCTGACTAGAGAGCAAACCCCCAACCTTGGTGTATCAGGACAGTGCTCTAACCAACTGAGCTACCCAGCCAGGGCCTTTGTATTTTTGTTTGTTTGTTTTTTTAACTCACAGTACAAAAGGACTGTATATGTTAAGACTAGGAATTTATTTTCACATGTAGCTTATTTAGGTCAAGAACATCTCTTCGTAGTTGATTCCCAGCCAAGACTAGCTGTGGTAACAGAAGCTCCAGAAATCTTAAGACAGGCATCTGGCTTCAATAACACCCAGATAAACAGTCAACAGTCAAAAACCCCACTGAGAATTGAAATTTTAATGCATGTATAAAGCTATGAGTGCACAAGACACATGCAAATCTTACTGGAACAAATGTTTTTGGCTGCTGACACACCAAAAACATTTATGCTGGGAAAGGCCCCCCAGGTGCAATGCTGGTTGTGGGTTTGCTCCAAAGCAGCCTGACTGAAAAGCCCCTGAGAGGTGTCTACTTGGGGAAGAGTATTAGCGTTACTGAACACACAAGGGTTTTCAGAACTAGGTCCCAGGAGAGTCAGGTAATTTTTTTGACCCATCAATACTTAACATTAGTGAAGAGTTGTAAAACAGAGCCAGTCTCTCCAAGATGTATTTTTCTGTCGTTAGCCAAAGCAGAGGCCAATATATTTGGCGGCTGCTATCTAGAACAATCTCATTTCCTGGTGGTGGGACCTAGGGTCACAGATTGTTCTAGGAAGCCAGCAAAGCTCTGCACAATGAAGTTACCACTAAGCCATTGAGTAAGTCCACTCCCCAGCCTTCTTCTTCTGCTCTGTAGTCCAGAAACATTTCTTTAAAAGCCAAAATATGGGGAAACATCGGTAGCATGTTGAATACGTCACCAGCCACTTCATCTTTAAGGTGCTGTAAAGTTGTTGTGAAAGCTGCCATGTTAAATCCAGAAATCTGCTCCAGGAGGTATTCTTCAATATACTTTTCTACCAAAGAAATATATTAGTTAAAAATAGGTGTGTAGCCCTGCCTGGTTTTGGTCAATGGTTAGAGCGTTGTCTGCGGACCAGAGAGTCCCGAGTTTGGTTCCCACTAAGGGCACGTACCCTGGTTGCAGTTTGTCTCTCACATCGATGTTTCTCTCTCTCTTCCTCCCTCTCTATCTGAAGATGAATGCAGAAAAAGAAAAAAAAAAAAGGTGTGTAGTTGACTTTATTCTCTTCTGTGTCTTCAAATTCCTGGTAGTACTTGCCCGTAAAATTTCTCTGTCATAACTGGAGCTCCATGATAATGTCCTCTAAATATTCAACCACAGCATCAAATTCTGCATCAGGGGCAGAAGAGAAAGTGCAAAGCTTTCTTCCTCTAGGACATCCGTTTTCATTTTGGCAGAATCCATCCTGCATGGAGCAAGTGAGTCCATAAGGCCTCCTACCCCACGGGCAGTCAGGGCCCAGCCTCTGTTCTGCTCCACAGAACCCCAATTGGCATAGGGAAAGCCTTGTCGCTGAGGCCACAACGAGCTCACCACCAATTCAAGGCCCAGCCAGGTCATGTCATTGCCTGCACACCACCCTAGCCTCAAGTCAAGAAAACTATAGACTAATTTATCTGATGCATGGAGATGCGAAAACTCTCAACAAAAAATCAACAAAGCAAATTCAACAATATGACCAAGTGGCATAAATTCTTGGTATACAGGGATATATATAAACCAGTAAATGTGATAATTAAATGAAAGATAAAAATCATAATGACCATCTCAATAGATGTAGAAAAAGTATTTCTCAAAATACAACATTCTTCCATGATAAAAACACTCAACAAATTGGGTATAAATGGAATATATCTCAACATAATAAAGGCCATATATACAAAACTTACAGCTAACATCATACTCAATGGTGCAAGAACAAAAGCTTTTCCTCCACCACCAGGAAGAAGACAAGGGTTCCCACTCTTATTCAACATCATACCAGAAGTCCTAGCCACAGCAAATATGTAAAATAAAGAAATAAAAGGTAGCCAAATTGTTAATGAAAAAAAGTAAATTTGTTATCTGCAAATAATATGGTCTTGTATATAAAAAATCCTAAAGACTCAACCAAAAAACTATTGGAACTAATCAATAAATTCAGTCAAGTTACAGGATATAAAATCACCATATGAAAATCAGTTTAGTTTCTATACACTAACAACAAAATATCTGAAAAAGAAATTTAAAAAACTATCCCAATTCACAAAAGCACCAAAGCCAATAAAATACTTAGGAATAAATTCAGCCAAGGAAGCTGTACAATAAAAACTACAAGACTATGATGAAAGAAATTAATGAAGATACAAATGGAAAGATATCCCGTTTTCATGGATCTGAAAACTTAAGATTGTTAAAATGTCCATACCATATATCCAAGTCATCTATAGATTTGATATAATCCCTATAACATCTCCAATAGCATTTTTCACAGAAATAGAAAAAATAATTCTAAAATACTGGTGTAAAAATAGATAGACCAATGGAACAGAATAGAGAGCCTAGAATTAAGCCCTTACATATATGATTTTTAACAATATTGGGAAAACTGGATAGCCATATGCAGAAAATGAAACTGGACTATCTTACACTACTCACAAAAATTAACTAGAAATAAAGACTTAAACATAAGGCCAATCACCATAAAATATTACTACAAAGATACTAATACTAAAAAGAGTAAAACAGGGAAGAAGATCCTCGACATCAGTCTTTGGATGAGACACCTAAAGCACAGTAACAAAAGTAAAATCAAACAAAAACTACATCAAACTAAAAAGCTTCTGCACAGCAAAAGAAACAATCAACAAAATGAAAAGGCAACCACAAAACAGAAGAAAATAACTGCAAACCATATATTGGATAAGGTGTGAATATCCAATATATATCAAGAACTCATACAAGTTAATAAACAATCGATTAGAAAATGGACAGAAAAACTTTTTTCCAGTGAAGAAATACAAATAGCCAACAGATATATGAAGAGGTGCTTGACATCACTAATCATCAGGAAAATGTAAATCAAAACCATTATATCACTTCATACCTGTTAGAAAGGCCATCATCAAGGCAAGAAATACTAAGTGTTGGTGAGAATGTAGTAAAAAGGTAACCCTGTGTGAACTGCTGGTATGAATGTAAACTAGTTCAGCCACTATGAAAAACAGTATAAAGGTTCCTCAAAAAACTAAAAATAGAACTACCATATGATCCCGCAATTCTACTTCTAGGTGTGTATCTAAAGAAAATAAAAACAAGATGCCAGAAAGATATCTGTACTCCCATGTTTACTGCAGCATTATTCATGATAGGCAAGATAGGAAAACGACCTAAAAGTCTTGTCAATGGATGCATGAATAAATATACTGTAATATATATTCATAACAGAATATTATACAGCCACAAGAAAGAAGGAAATCCTGCCATTTGCAACAACGTGGATGGACCCTTGAGGGCATTACGCTAAGTGAAATAAGTCAGACAAAGAAAGACATATACTGTATGATATCACTAATATATAGTATCTAAAAAAGCTGAACTTGTAAAACAAAAGAACAGAATGGTGGTTACCAGGGTCTGGGGGGGAGGGGGAATTGGGAGATGCAGTTTAAGGGTACAAAGTTGCAACCAGTAAATAAGTAAGTTCTGGAGATCTACTGCACAGCATAGTGATTATAAGCACCAATACTGTATTGGAGACTTTAAGGTTGCTGAAAGACTTGCTCTTAATTTTCCTTATCACACACAGACACAAATTAATACAGGTGTTAGCTAACACTATGATGTTTAATATACTGCAATGTATAAATGTATAAAATTAACACTTTGTACCCCTTAAACCTATGTAATGCCATATCAGTATCTCAATTTTTAAAAAAGCACATGTAACAAAGATAATTGTAGGAGTGCTATATGCATGTCACTTTGAGAAGAATGGGAATGGCTGTGATTTCCATTCTGTAATTCACTTTGAGAAAAAACACATTTAATAAAGATGGTTATAGAGTGCTAAAAAAATAAAAATAAAGTAAAACCAATGATTAAAAGGACAAAATAAAAATAAACCAATCACAGCACATTTTTTACTATTATTTATATTTCATTGGTTCATTTTTCCTGTCTTTGGTAACATAATAAAAAGTAAGCAGGAACAGATACCTCCAACTTTTTTTTTTTTAATTTATAGGGGGAAAAAAAAGACATAAAATTTCACATTTCAAACACAGTACCAGAAATGGTGCTCTATATTAAGATAGATTAATAAAAGGGACCCTGAAGTTTCCTTCTAGGTTGTCCAGTACAACCAAATATTTAGAAAATCAATCACACTCTGTTTAGGAATAAAGTTTTTCATTTTGGCTACATTATATGTCTAAGGAACTAAGTTCTGTTTCATGCAGTTAGATTGGTCTACCAAAAGCTAAGAAAAGAGAAGTAAGTTCCTCATTACTAGTCACAGATTTGGTAGATTCTTTTTTTAGGAAGAAAATATAAAATATGATGTATCAGAGATTATACCAATAAATGACCAAAGGCTTATATTTAACATTTATATTTCCAAAGTCTGACATTCTCAAGTAGACACAAGAGGATTTTCTTACCTTATCATTCATGAATAATAAAATAATTCTGCAAATAAAAATTTTGCAAATAACAAAAAAATTGTGTACATTTAATTTAACTTTAATGTTTATTTAGACAGATTCAAAATTACTGAAAAGAGGCTATCCAGACTTTTATATTGAAGTTTACAGTCTTGCACCACATAACATTTTGGTCAACAGGCTGACCACTATAGGACAGTGGCCCCATAAGATCATAACGGAGCTGAAAATTCCTATTACCTGGTAACACTGTAGCTGATGTAATATCATGGTGCAATATATTACTCGTGTTTGTGTAAATACTACTGTTTGTGTAAAATACTACTGTTTTTATAGTAGTTAAAAACCTACTGCGCTGTCAGTCATATAAAAGTACAGCACATACAATTATGTACAGTATATAAACTAGATAGTGCTAATAAGAACTGTTACTGGTTTATGTATTTATTATACTAAACTTTTTAAAAAATGGTATGTTGTGTTACGTATCTCGTGTTCACCATGTCTCTTGATTGCATCATTTTCTCTCCTGTTTGATTTAAGCTCATGTTGTTTTATATATTCAGTGTAGCCTAATGTACAGTGTTCATAAAGTCTATCTACAGTACTGTCGTAGGCCTTCACATTCACTCATTCTCACTCTCTGACTCACCCAGACTGACTCCCAGTCCTGCAAGCTCCATTCATGCCCTCACAGATGTACCATTTATTTTTTATGCCGTATTTTTACTGTACCATTTCTATGTTTAGACACACAAATATTTAACACTGTGTTACAACTGCTAGATACATAAATATTTAACATTTTGTTATAACCACCTACAGTATTAAGTACAGTAACATGCTATATAGGTTTGTAGCCTAGGGGTAATAGGCTACACCACAAAGCCTAGTTGTGTTGCAGGCTATTCCACCTAGGTTTCTGTAAGTGCACTCTATGATGCTTGCAGGACAAAATAGCCTAACAATACATGTCTCAAAATGTATCCCCATCACTAAACAGCATATGAGTGTATTCAAAAACTTACCCATTGTGCACTGCAGCTCTGGGATCACTGCTGCTCTTCACTTTGATCATTAATAGAGAGAGGAGAAGGTAGAACATAGCCAAGCCAAAGCACAAACGGTATACAGCTTTGTAGCCAACCAGAATATTACAAGGGACGACACCTTTCTCATTCTCACAAAATCCAGGAATCTAATATAACAAAATAAGAGTTTGTGATCTAGAATTTTTCCAAGTAAAAATAAAAATTCTGTATAATAAAGTAAAGATTTGGAAAATTAAAGTTTGCTTTTCAGTTTATGCTGAATATCTAATCTGGAATATTTTTATACACAGAAGTTTAATTCTTTTTTTTTTCATTTGACGTGAGCACATGATAAACTACAAATGCAAATACTAAAGGGAATATTTATTTTGACTTGCAGCCTTATTCTGAATTTTTTTTAAACTTTCATTCTACTGTGATATACCGAATTACCTATATAGGAAAAGAGAAAAATACAATCAATAAAAATTTAAAAAATTATAACATAACTAAGTCAGTTTTTAAGCCCTAAAGAGAACAATGATGGCTTTTCAAAACCAATGCTACTTAAATTCATTTTGAGTTTTTGTCCTTCATCCTACAAGTGTTATTTCTGATAATGAATAAATTTGGATTAACATCATCACTGGCACTGACTTTATTTTTTTAACTTAGAATCTTGAAAAAGACTGATAAGCATTTCAGAAAGTCACATTGGTATCAGAATACCGGAAAAAATTTTTTTTTTTTTTTTTTTATCCTCACCCGAGGATATTTTTCCATTTTTTGTACAGATAGAGTGGGAGGGAGAGAGAGGAAGGGAGAGAGAGAGAGAAACATCGACGTGAAGGGACACATCGAGTGGCTGCCACCCGTACGACCAACCAGGGCCGGGGACAAACTGCAACGGAAGTACATGCCCTTAGCGGGAACCAAACCAGGGTCTCTCCGGACCACAGGCCGACGCTTTAACCTCTGAGCCAAACTGGCCAGGGCCGGAAAAACAATTTTTAAGTGAAATAAATGGGAGTAGTCCTCAGAGCTATATACACTATTTGTATGTGTGAGAATTTAAAATTACATTTAAGCTAAGAGAGCGCTACTTCCTTTTGCTAGTTTCTACATAATCAATAAACCCTTTCTTGGTCTGACTTAAATCCTACCTTTCTAATCTAGTTTAAACCTTATGGCAATATGTATTTACCCATAATCACTTGCAACATGTACTCACTAGCACCCTTAATCATCCCACTCCTTTAGAGCAGCACACCACCTGGCCACTTTCCATCCTTAAGCTAATTCAGTCATCTATATTCATCAGGTTAAGCAGGTACAGTAACAACCCCAAAATATCAGCTTAAAACAGCAAAGGTATATTTCTTGCTCATGTACATGTACATGTACATAACTGATCCTGAGTAATCAACTCAAGAACCCAGGCGCTGGAGAAGCCACCATCTCAAATGATGTACAGGTTGTAGTAGAAAAGAAAGGAGATCTTGCATCACCAAGTAGAAGCTGAGGTGTATCATATCCACTTACAACTCACTGACCAGTTCTAGGGACATGACCTTACTTGTCACAAGTATTCTAGGAAATATAAATTGTTGATGACCTTTGGAAAGCAGAGAAGTAGAAATATTTGGTGATAAGGACTAACACTGACCAACTAAACTATTATAACCATGGTCAACTGAATCCATGACAATACCATATGAACACCTCTTGGCATGCTTTTGCTTATACTCAGAAATAACATTAACTGAGCACCCAGATATGCCATGTACAATGCTACCTCCTTTCAAAATCATCATAATCTAATTTCCCAAACTTGCATCATTTTTTCTTACCACAAAGCCAGCCCCAAGCAGACAAACCTCAAAATTTTTTTATCATTCATCTTGCCTTGGAGGACAGCTAACTTCTATACAGTCGTCCCTCGCCACTTCGTGCTTCTACTATCACGGCTACTCTATCGCGATTTTTTAAAAAAATAAAAAATCCTACTTTGCGGAAATTCATTTATCGCAGTAGAGTCTAGAACAGATTAACTGCAATAAACGAGGGCCGACTGTATCCCTTCTCTTGATCACCTTCTTCTCCCTTTCCTTCTTTCTCTCTCTCTCACACACAGATGAGATTTCTTATCTTTGACTACTCTCAAAATACAAATGATCAGCCCAGCCAGTGTGGCTCAGTGGTTGAGCATCAACCCATGCACCAAGAGGTAGCTGGTTTGATTCCCGGTCAGGGCACAAGCCCAGGTTGTGGGCCCAATCCCCAGTGGGGGGCATGCAGGAGGCGGCTAATTGATGTCCTCTCTCATTGATGTTTCTATCTCTCCCTCTCCTTTCCTCTCTCTCTCTAATATCAATAAAAATTTAAAAATACACATGATTAAATCTCCCCATTCTAAGAAATCCTTTCCTTAACTCAGTTTCTTGCTCAGACCACCATGTTCATTATAAAACACCTCAAATCAGTAGTTTATTCCCACTGGATACATTTCCTCATGGCCTGCTAATTCCCCTCCCACTCCCCTCTAGGCCCCAGAACTCAACTCATTCTTTTTTTTTTCCCCCCTGACTTGAAGAATTTCATTAGAAATTCAGACTATTCACTTTTCTTTTTCTATTTTTTTTTAAAATCCTCACCCAAGGATATTTTTTGTTTATTTTATTTATTTTAATTAATTGTTTTTATCTTTACTATTGAAAGTATCCTAGCATTCATTGTTTATCTTCATTTGGCTTCCTCTTTTCAATCTTTAAATACAGAAGTTCTACTCATTTCTACAACATCCCTTTTTCCATAAGAAGCACTGCGATTGAATCTTACTTGATTAGAATTACTTATTTTCTCTTATAACCACAGCACATTTTCTGTACCACCATCACAGAATTTGCCTTATATTGTCTGTCTTTCCTAAAAGATTATGAGCTACTAAAATTGGAATTATGTATTATCCTACTTAGCACATTATTGTTTACAACACACAAAAATCAGTTTCATGCATACACACACTATAGCTTCAGTTAATCAATTTAAAAAAAAAGACTAACCTTATTCAGTTGTTCTTCCATTCCTGGTATTAACATTACACAAGCTACACACACTCCAACAAACAAGAAAAATGCATAGATCAGCCTGGTTACAGTGGAGTTGTTTCCACTGGGACAGCATCGGCACAGCAAACATGGGGCACTGCCACACAAACATGGTACCTGAGAAAAGAATATGAAAAATAAGTAAAGTTTAAAATGATACAGTGAAAATTTACATTCTATCTATTCAAAAATGAGAAGGAACTTAAGTTAAAGTAATTACCAAGGGATAAAAGGTATTTGGCTCACATACATTATCTGTAAATAATAAAACTTAGTAAGTTCTGGGTAAATATGCAGCAAAGTCAAACATAAAAGTGCTTGCTCCTATATCAAACAAAATGAATAGGTTAAAACAACAAAGGAAAAAAACACCAGCCAGCAGCAATCAATGTTCAACTTAAAAAAAAAAAAAAGTAATGAAATATTCATGATTACAAGTTCATCTCCACCTCCTGTCCTTCAGCCCCCAGAAATCATACTGGTGAATTTACAAAATTCTGAGAATTCTCAAATACTTCAGAGAAAAGAAGTGAATTGTTATCCTTATCTTTTCCCTCTTGTGACTTGGTGGTAGTGTGACAACAGTGAAAATTACTACTAGAATTAGGCAAAATAGGATGAATGAACAACTGAGGCCAGCTAACTTTCTCTAATAGAACTGCACATAAACTCAGGCCAAGATAGAGCAACAATGACTACACTTACCCTATTGCCTTAATCAATGGAAAAAAAATTAATGAAACAATGATTTTCAGACAATTAACAACAGGCAATGCAGGACAGTAATTTCTAAGAGAGGAAACAATGTGAGCTCTATGATTGGCCCATCTTGCTGCCTGGAGGAAGTTTCCAGTGCAAGAAGAATGTTCTAGGCCAAGACCAGCATTCAGAGTTGAGAGTTCAGGGAAGTAAAGATAGTTTCAATGGGCAGAATTCTAGAAAAAATAAGCTCCGAAGATCTGCAGAGGATTCAACTTGAGTCTTCAGGAAAGCACTGATTGGTGCATACATTTGAATAAATTACAATGGGAAGGGGGCAGGAGGAATTGATATTGCGACAGCCAGAATCAAAAATCCTTGTAATCCATGAGGCACTGAGTAGAGTTATAAGGGTTTACTCATTACCGGGGGTTGGGGGGAAATCAGCCATAAGACTAAAGGCCACTCCAATATCACTTAACAAAGTCTAAAAGCAAGCACCAAAAAGATCAAATTCTCTTCAAATAATTCACCTACGTCTAAAAACAAAGCCCAAGAATACTTTTAAAAAATAGAAATACAGAAATACACCCACAACCCATCAAGGTAAATTTTGCAACTTTGTCAAATATCAGTTGACTATATTTATCTGGGTCTATTTCTGGGCTCTCTATTGGGTTCCACTGATCTATTTGTCTTTTCTTTTGCCAACACCACAGTCTTGATTACTACTATAGCTTTATACTAAGTTATGCAGTTGGATAATGTCAATCCTCCAACTTTGCTTCTTTAATATTGAGTTGGTTAGTCTGTCTTTTGTATCTCCATATAAACTTTAGAATCAGTTAGTCAATATCCATACAATAACTTCCTGGGTTTTTTATTGGAATTACATTGAACCTACAGATTATATTTAAGAAACTGACATTTTACAACAGTGGTTCTTATTAGTCTATGAACATGCAATATCTGTCCATTTAGACTTTGCTCATCAGAGTTTTTTAGTTTTCCTCATATGGATCTTGTATTTTGTTAGATTTATACCTAAGTATTTTGTGGTTTTTGTTTTAGGTTGCTAATATAAATGGTATTGTGTTTTTAATTTCAAATTCCACTTTTTAATTGCTGGTATACAGAAAAGTGGTTTACTTTTATATATTATCCTTGTATACTGCAACCTTGCTATAAGTGCTTAGTAGATTCAGGAGTTTTTCTCTTGATTCTTTCAGATTTTCTACATAGATGAAGTCATCTGTGAATATGTGTACCTTTTATTTCCTTTTCCTGTCTTATTGCACTAGCTGGAACTTCCAGGAAAATGTTAAAAAGAAGTAGTGAGAGGAAACACTTGCTTTGTATCCGATTTTAGTGAGAAAGCTTTGAGTTTCTCACCATTAAGTATGATGTTGGCTGTAGGTGTTTGGTTGATATTCTTTATCAAGTTGAAGAAATTCCCTCTATTCCTAGTTTATTGTGAGTTTTTCTCATGAATAAGTATTGAATTTTGTAAAATGTATTTTCTGCATCTACTGATGTGATCATGTGATTTTTAAAGACTATTGATGTAATGAATTATATTGGGTTTTGATTGTTGAACCAGCCTCTCATACCTATGTTTACAGCAGCTTTATTCATAATTGCCCAATCTTGAAAGTAACTGAGATGGTCTTCCTTGGTGAATAAACAAATGAAATGTGGTACATCCAGACAATGGAATATTTTTATTATTAATTAGTACCCCCAAAAAAGCACTATCAAGCCATGAAAAGACACGAAGAAACCTTAAAAGGATATTACTAAATGAAAGAAGCCAATCTGAAAAAACTACATACTATATGACTACGACTGTATGTTTTGGAAAAGGTAAAACTGGAGACAGTAAAAAGATCAGGTGTTGAGAGTGTGTGGAGGGATGAATAGGCAAGGCAAGGAGGATTTTTAGGGCAGTGAATATATTTTGTATACTCCTGTAATAGTGGATACATGTCATTATACATTTGCCCAAACACACAGAAGGTCCAACAGCAAAAGGGTTATATAGTTAACCCTTATATAAACTATAGACTTTGGATGATTATGTTGTGTCCTTGTAAGTTCAGTAATTGTAACAAATGTACCACCCTGGTGGAGAATGTTGATAATCAGTGAGGCTATGCATGTGTGGGGACAGGGAATATACGGAAAATCTCTGTATCCTCCTCTCAATATTTCTGTATAAACATAGTCTTTCAAAAAGTATATAAAAAAAGGATAAAACACTGATCGGGTACGATTTAGTAGGGGAAAGAAAACAAAGCTGAGTAAGCATTTGAAAATCAACCAATGCAATTTACATTAACAGACTAAAAAAATAAAAATTAAAACACTATGATCATCTCAATGGATATAGAAAAATCATTTGACAAATCTGAATTCCCATGATAAAATAAACAAAAACAGTTTTCTTCAAACAAGGAATAACATATCCTCAACTTGATTAAAGGGGATTTACGAAAAATCGATAGCTGCCATCCAAGCTTCATGGTGAAGTCTGAATGATTTCCCCTAAGATATGAAACAAGGAAAGGATATCAGCTCTTACCACTTGTATTCAACTTCATGCTAAAGGTCCTGGCCAATATAACAAGGCAAGAACAAAAAAGAAAAGGTATATACATTGGAAAAAAAGAAATAAAACTGCCTCCACTCACACATAATTGTCTAAATGGAAAATCCCAAAGAACTTAAAAAATGCTACTATAACTATGAGTGAGCTTAAAAAGGTCATAGAGTATAAGGTCAATGTACACATATCAATCATATTCCCACATACTAACAAAAAAAAACAACAATTGGAAACTGAAATTAAACAAACAGAAACACTTAGGTATAAATTTAACAAAGTAAATACTAGATCCCTAATGATAAAACTTAGAAAACACTGATGGAAGAAATCAAAACCCTAAATAAAAGGAACAATAAACGGCTTACTGACTGGAAGACACTCACTATTGAAAAGATGTCAATTCTTTCCAAACTGATTGATAGATTCAACCCAATCACAATCACAATCACAATCCCAGCAGAATTTGGTAGAAATAAGTCAGCTGCTTCCAAAATTTATATAGAAAGGCAAAGAAACTAGAATAATCCGAAGAATGTTGAAAAAGAACAATTTTATTTTTTAAATTAAATTTATTGGGGTGACTTTGGTTAATACCATCATATAGACTTCAGGTGTAGATTCCTATGATACAAGATCATATTTTTTAAATACAGAAAACTACCATAAGCCATAATCAAATCATATATCAAAATTAAGATTTCTTAGATACAATATGAAAAGTGTGACCCACAAAAAATGAAAATCAATTAATTTGAAAAACTTCTCTTTGAAAGATAGCATTAAGAGAATGAAAAGATAGCCACAGACTTAAAGACAACATTTGCAAATCAGTTATCTGATAAATCATTTGCATCCATAATATAAAAGGGATTAAAACAATCAGAAAATTTTAAAAATGGCCAAAACATTTGAACAAATATTTTTCAAAAGAGAGTATGACAGCAAATAAGCACATGAAAAAGTACTCAATATCATTAGTTATAAGGAAGATATCACTACCCACATATAAGAATGGCTAAAATCAAATACTAAGTACTGACAAGAATGCAGAGCAACTAGAATGCTCTTTCTTTGCTTGTGGGAATGAAAAATAGTATAGCCATATTGGAAACTTGTTTGGCAGTTTCTTGTAAGTCAAACATATGCTTACTATATGACCTAGCAATTCCACTGCTAGATATTCACCTAAACAAAATAACTTAGTCACACAAAAAACTTTTATGGGAATTCTTATAGCTACTTTATCACCAAAATCTAGAAATGCCCTTAAACTGATGAGTGAATAAACTGTGGTACATGCAAGCAATGGAATACCATACAAGAATAATTTAAAAAGTACAATAATATGAATGAATTTCAAATGAATTACACTAAGAAGCCAGACTCAAAAATCTATATACTGTATGATTCTATTTATATGACATCTGGAAAGGCAGAATTCTGAAGACAGGAAAAACAGGAGTTGCCAAAGACAAGGACAGAAGAATTTTTTAAGGTGGTAACTGTTCTGTAGTAGTTACATGAGTACATGACTTGCCAAAACTCACAGAATTGTATACACAACAAAGCATGAATTTTTAATGTAAATTATATCAACTAAAAAATAACAAAATTTCTGTATTTACAGAAATTAATAACCTGGAAGGAAAACATCAAGGTAACTGGTATCCTTAAAATAGAGAATCCTCTAAATAAAACAAAGGAAAAGAAACAAAGAAATAATACAAGAAAAATTTCCTTAGACAAAAAAATTAATCTGTATTTTCTAAAGAACACTATTTTCCAAAGGAAAAAGAAAAGCGATTAATGATTT